CCTCTCTAACTCAATTCAATTCAACTCAACAAGTAGTAGATAGAGCTCTGGACTTGGAGTCAGGAAGATGTGAATTCAAATTCTGCCTTAGACACTGATTAGATGTGGGAATGTGGGCAAGTCACTTGACCATGCCCAGACTCAGTTTCTTCATCTGTAAAATGAGGATAATAATAGCATCTACCTCACAAGGATGTTGTGAAGAAAAATGAGATAAACTATGTTTACAAACCTTACAAAGCTCTTTACAAACCTTAAGGATCAATATAAATCCTAGCTATTGTTGTTGTTGTTATTATTATTATTATTATTATTATTATTAAGCATTTATTTAAGCATTCCTTGAGCTTGGTGTACAAAGACAAAAATGAAAACAGTCTTCGCCCTCACTAAGTTTACATTCCACTCAACAAAATATCCAGGGTAAACATCAATCATTTTTTCTCATCAGTCTTCATATGAGCATGACCTGTAGGCCAGTATTCTCATCTGTGAAATGGGAAGAATCAGAACACTGTCTCACAGGGTTTTTGGGAGGTTTAAATAAAACAATGGACGGAAAGCAATGTACTTGGGCACGAGATAAATGGCAGCTATTATGATCCTTTCTCTGCAGTGTTTCTAAGATATATGTCTTTTTTTTCCATCTGTGGATCTTCCAAGCACTCACCTAACCACACCCAAATTAAGACAAACTTCTCCAGTTTCCCACTCTATCTGTCCTGTAACCATTTAATACTGCTTTAATCCAGGCATACCCCTGCCCAAATACCTGCCTAAACCCTGGAGAAGAGATGAAAAATGAACCTCTTCCCTTCTTTGCAGAAGTGGGGGACCATGGGTTTAGAATACTGCATACACTGTCAGACTCAATTGCTTTTGGTTGGTGAGTTTTGCCGAACAATGTCTCTCTCTCTCTCTCTCTCTCCTCTTTCTCTCTCCTCTTTTTTTGTCTCTGTCTCTCCCTTTCCCCCCACTTTCCTCCTCTCTCTCTCCTCTCCTTTCCTCTTCTCTCTTTCTCTCTGCATCTCTCTGTCTTTCTTTTTCTATCTTATTATTTGTTTCAAGGGATGGCTCCGTAGGTAGCGGTGCGAGTCAGTGTGGTAGTGTAATGCAAAGAGTATTGCTTGGCCTTAGAAACAGGAGACAAGGGTTTGTATCCCAGAGAGGAAGTTCATTCACTGTATTCATATGAGCAAATCATAGTTGCAGCAGATTTAGCATTAGAAGGGCCCTTAGAGACCATCTAGTCCAGGGATTCTTAACCTGGAGATCCATGAAGTTGCTTTTTAAGGTATTGCATTAACTATTCCATTCTCCTTGGTTTCCCTTATGATCCTCTGCATTTTATTTCATGCGCTTAAAAACATTCTTCTGAGAAGGGGTCCCTAAGCTTCACTAGGCTTCCAGGAATCCAGAGGATCCCTGGACACAAAGGGACCCAGTACATAATAAAGGTTAGAGTCCAAGCCCTTCATTTTATAGAGGGGGAAACTGAGGTTCAAAGAGAAGTGACTTGTTTAAGATCCTACAAGTAACAAGTGACTGAGCTAGGATTATGAACCCAGGTCTTCTGACTCTAAATCTTCTTCAGGCCCACTTGGGAAGTCTTTCAAGCTTGGCAGGATCTGTGCTTACATTCCACTGTTAGGTCCTTCTGGAACCTAGGGTCCCAATGCTGTGATGAAACATGAGAAGAAGGTCTCTTTGGAAGAATAATAAAATAAAGATGATAACAAATGTCAGTCATGCCTGACATCTGCAGTGTCTTATATATCTCAAAGCACTTTTGAGCACCTATCTGATTTCATTAGCTAATGGCATTCACTTACCCTCAGAAACTTTACTGGCACCACACCCTCAAAAACCCAGCTCATAAATTCACCTCCTTGGGGCAGCCTTTGAAAAGCTGCCCAGGATTATGGAAAGAGGCCTGGATTTCAAGTTAGTAAACTTGGGTTCAAGTTCTGGTTCTAACATTTGCTAGTGGTAAGACTTGGGCAAATCACTTTAACCTCTGCTAACCTCGGTTTCTTGATCTGTAAAATGGACCTAATACCTTCCTTGCCTGCTTCACAGGAAGGATTTAATGAGACAATGAATCAGAAACCCCTCTGAAAAGCATTGTATAAATGCAGAATGTTGGTTTTTCCTTACTGTGGATTTCCTCTAGATTTAATTCAATAAACATCTACTCTTTTACCAAGCATAGTAGGAGTAGAGTACTGTGTTGGGTCAGAGAGAGGTTCAAAGTTTAGTAAGTAAGTCCCTGATCTCATGGAGTTCACTGTTGGGTGGGATTATGGAGGTAGAGGAAGAATTCCCAAGTATACAGATAACTGAAATACACAATGTTACTTCATCAGTGCATTAAGCTAGTGATAAAAGTCCGGACTTGGGATTTCATTAGCACAGGGAAGGCCTGCATGAGGAAACACCCCCTACCAATGGGAGTCAGCACTTTCTGTACAATTTATAATCCTAGAAAATTGATGAGGGTGTGGGGCGGGGGGGGGGGGGGGGAACGAGAAGGAGGGGGGGGGGAGAAGGACTGGTACTTAGAATTAAGTAACTTGCTGGAGGTGGGGGTGGGGTTCACATCCGTAATATATGTCAGAGATAAGAACTGAACTCAAATCTTCCCAGCTCAGAGGTCAGCTCTCTATTCATTATGCCAACAACGTGGAATCTCCAATGCATAAGAGAGGACCAAAAACAAATGAATAAAACAAAAGAATGAAATGATCCATGGAGGTCCATGGGAGAAGGTTGGATTTGCTTGGGCTCTAGGAAGAGGTAGGTGCAGTGAGGTGGTGCAGTGGATAGAGCCCTAGGCCTTGAGTCAGGAAGACCTGAGTTCAAATCCGGCCTCAGACACTTACTAGCTGTGTGACCCTGGCCAAGTCACTTCACCCTGTTTGCCTCAGTTTCCTCATCTGTAAAATGAGTTGGAGAAGGAAATGACGTGTCTTTGCCAAGAAAACCCCAAATGGGGTCACAAAGAGTCAAACATGACTGAGAAACCACTAAACAACAGCAATATGGAGGAAGTTGTGTTTGACTCTTCAAATAACTGGAAGAATCCTTAGAGACCAATGAGTTTGACCCCCTTCTTTTTACAAAGGAGGAAACTGAAGCTCAGGAAAGGAAAGTGACTTGCCCAAGAACACACTCACCTAGAGCAAATGGCAGAGCTGGGATGCAGGCTAATTTCTTTTTTTTGGGGGGGGGGGTCTGTTTTTATTTTTTATCTTCGTGTTCCTAGTCCTTAACACAGTGGCTTTCATTAGTATGAAATTAATAAATGCTTATTGGATTAAACAATTTAATTGCAGATAAATAAGAAGAAATCAATTAATAGATTGATGACACATTAAACAGAGTCGAGATTCTGAACTTTACTCAACATCAGTTCATGCTAACGAGAGAAACTTTAAATACAAGCTAACTTCTTTTGACTCTGAGTTCACGGCTCCTCTTACCCCGCTGCTTCTTGGCTTTAAAAGCTGGGAAGGAACAAGCAGACAAAGGGAATCATTATCACTGGTCAGGTTTTTGGTTTTTGTTTTGTTCGTTTTGGGGTTTTTTGGCTTGGTTTTTAACTATATGAATTCATATGTGTTGTTGCTTTCTTTGGTTTGTGGCTTGCCTGGGGGGAAATGATGAGCTGATCACATAGCAAGAATGCCAGAAACCCTATAGATGGTACCTGTTTTCTATTGATATTCATATAATGCCAAGGAAATGAGAGGAAGCCCCCTTCTGGTGGCTTCTGGGAGTACACGGACATGGACAAGTACATGGACGTGCCCAGGATGGACATATGTGCGTGGGCTATTCTCTGCACCATTGGTGGGAGTACCCATGTCAATGAGGTAGATCATAGAGCCATCAGAATACTGGGACACAGGAGTAGATGTGTTATTTTCTAAAAAGTGCCCTTCCATTATTTTTCTACATGGATTGTAAGCCCCCTGAGGCCAGGGGATGGAGCTACTATTTCTACCGATTTTCTTTGTCCAAGATGCTCAGTATTCTGTCTCTGTGCTTTTGTGCTCCATACCTAGAATGCTTTCTTTCCTCATTTCCACGTCTTGGAATACCTAGCTCCCTTCAACATCATTTCCAAACCATACCATCTGTACTCTAACTAGCCTCCTCCTCCTTTCATCAGAACCTGGACTCTGTCTCTGAGTCATCTCATCGGTGACCTTATCTTGCCCAGAAGCAGGCCTCCATGTCATACAATAATATTAATAACAACCACTAATATTTATAAAGCACTTACTATGTGTCAGACACTGCTTTACAATCATTATCTCATCTGATCCTCACAACAACCCTGAGAAGTAGGTGATATTATTATCCCCATTTTACAGTTGAGGAAACTGAGGCAAACAGCAGTCAAAGGATTTACCCTGGGTCACACAACTAGTAACTAGTAAGTGTCTGAGACTGGATTTGAACTCAAGTCTTCCTGGTCTAGGTCCAGAGCTCTACCTACTGCATCTTCTCCCTGTCTTCCTAGACATTTCCAAAGGGTGCTGCTAGACTCTGTTTTCCCTCCTTCTTTCCGATTCCCCTTTCTGTCTAGTCTTCCTCCATTAGAATGTAAGTTCCTTGAGGGCAGGTATTGTACAGTGCCTGGCACATAGTGAGTGCTTACTACATGCTCCTCTCTCTCTTCCTACCTCCCTCTCCCTCCCTTTCTCCCTTCTTCCTTCCTTTTTTCTTCCCTTCCACCTTTCCTTCTATCCATCTATCCTTCCCTCCCTCTCTTCCTTCCTTCCTTCTTTCCTTCCCTCCCTCCTTCCCTCCCTTCTTCCTTCATATCTAGCATGGTAGCTAATCAAATGTAAACCAACTGATTGAATTATATTTACTCGCAGTAATGATGAATCCTTTGCTTCCAGGTGGGAGTAGGGAAGGTGGGCACAGTGACATTCATTAGTCCTTTGATTTCATGCATCTCTCTCCCCCTGCTTCTCTCCATGATCCAGATGTGCCCCAGATGGGTGCAAGTTCTTCGAAATCTGTGCCACACCGGGAGTGGTCATTGACCTCAACTGCCATCCTATCAAGAGGTCACCTTCAGGCACTTTCAAATGTCTTCTGGAGCCTGGGGTGGAGATGACAGTGAGGATGAAAACCCCAAGCACCCTTCTTAATGATCAAAAGGTGAGTGTGATAGTGGAAGAGAGCAACTGAGAATTAGGGGTGGTCTGCCTTTTTTAGCTTATATTTGTATTCATGGAGTTTAGTACAGTATCTGGCACATAACAAGCACTTAACAAAAGCTTGTTGACTTGAAAAAGATCTGGGAAATTTACTGTACTGCAAGTTCAATATGAGTGATGTCAGTAAAAGAAAAGTACATGTGACCTTGCACTATAGTAAAAGGCAGAGTGTCAAAGACTATTAGTCCTGCTTTATCTGGTCCTTGTCAGGTCACATCTGGCATTATGTTCAGGTCTGAGTGCTTCCATTTAGTAAGCACGGAATAAACTGAAGAGTGTATAAAGAAGGGCAACCAGAATAGTGAAAGACCTCTAGATTCTTCCATATGGTGACTGATTCAAGGATATGAGAATGTCTAGTCAGAGAAAAGAAGACAGGGCAGGAGATAAGATAACTGTCTTCAAATATTGGAAGGAATATCATGTAGAAGAGGGATTACACTTGATTTTCCCAGAGTATAGAATAATAGCGATTAATAATATTAACAATAGCTACCATGTGTATAGTACTTTAAAGTGTGCAAAGAGCTTTACAAATATTATCTAATTTTATAATTTATTAATTATAATAGCTAGCCTTCCCGCCATTAATTATCTATCTATCCTACTTATATCTTGCTTTGGGTTAGGGTTAGGATTTTCCTGACTTCTCAAACCCAGTGCTCTATCCACTATGCCCCCCAGCTGGCTTGGTAGCTAATATTCTTGGGTTTTGTGAACATTAGATTACCATGTTGTTGGCCTCTTCTCCTTTCTGACAGCAGATAATACACCATAGGCTGAAATCACAAATGCCTTTCTATATTGTTCTGCAGGTCAAGATCTCCTATTTAGGACCCAAATCAAGTTCTGCCCAGGCCTTGCTCTACCTCACTGGTGTCCGTAAGTGACATTTCTGATTCCATTGGGGTGGAACTCAAAAGGTCTCTCACCTTCAAACTCATTACCTGGTTTGAGTTAATGCAGTTAGAGAGATGTATACACAGGGAATTGAGGGAGGAACTGAATGTTAGAAAAATGACGATTTTATGTGGTCTAATTCTTGTTCCCTCTGCTGACATCCTCTCTGAATACCTTTCCTGGGGATGTCAAAGCAATCCCATTTTCTAGAAGGTTATATTTAGAGAGTAAGTGTTGGCTGGAGAATTGGAAAGACCACTGATACATTGAAGAGTGTCCAGAGGAGGGCAACCAGGATGGGGAAGGGCCTAGAATCTTCGTCATGAGAAGATCAACTTAAGGACGTAGGGTTGTTGACCCCGGAGAAGACATGAGTTGGGCAGAGGAGACATAAGAGCCACCTTCAAGTAGTTAAAGGACTCTCTCAGGGAAGAGGGATCAGATTGGGTTCTGTTTAACCTGAGAGGACAGAGACAACAATGAATCAAAGTCAAAAATGCCAACCTCAGGCTTGACATCAGAAAACATTTTCTAATAAAAATGGAATGGGCTACCTCTGGAGGTGCTTGGTTCCCCTTCATTGGGGGTCTTCAAGCAGAGACTGGAGGACTGCTTCTCTGGGATACTGAGGTGGGGATGGGGTTATCCATTCAGATATGAGCTGGGCCAGGTGGTCTCTGAGAACATACAATGATAGATCTAGAGCTGGAAGGAACCTTGTCCAACCCCCCAACGTCACATAGCTAGGTAGCACAGTGGGTACTTAGAAGGCAGGAAGATCTATGTTCAAATTCTACCTCAGACACACACTAGCTGTATGACCCTGGGACAAGTTGCTTTAATCGCCACCTGCCTCAGTTTCCTCATCTGTAAAATGGAAATAATAATAATAGTGCCCACTCCACAGGGTTGTTATGAGGATCAAATGGTCCAGTGCTTTGCAAACCTTAAAGCACCATATACATGCTCGCTATTATTATTAAATGTGGAAGGCAGGATTCGAACACAGGGCTTTCTGACAGCAAGTCTGGTGCTCTTTTCGCTCTTTAACACTGCCTCTCCACCTCTGAAATTCTATGGTTCTGTGAGGTCTTCCTAAGCTAGAAGGAACTGTATGCCATTTGGCTGCCTCACTTTGGAGAGGCTGATTACCAGGCTGGCTGTGGCAATTAATTTTTCAGACATAACAACTGTGCCATCTACCAAAACAAAACTGTTATTTTTCTTGGTGCAGGGAGTACCTGAACCTATGAAATCACAAATCACTGAAGTATGGAGGTATAGAGATTATCAGGGACAACATAATTAGGCAATGCACTATAGTGGGAAGAATGATGAATTCGAAGTCACAGGATCAGTCAAATCTCAATTCTGCTACTTGCTTGAAATCCAGAACATTCTCCTTTCCTTGATGAGTTTAGTGCCTGACTGACTTTCTTTCCTCCTCATCATTTGCCCTTGTATTACCGGACTTCAATATACATATTAATGATCTCACAAATATCCTAACTTCACAATTCCTCAAGCTATTCACCATTCCCTCTAGCTCAGTCACACACAGTCACACACAGTCACACACACACACACACACACACACACACACACACACACACACACATCATTGATCTTGCTTAATTCTTTACTTATAGTTCCCCTCCTCTGCAAAAAGCGGGAGGCAGGCTTCCCTGAAGTCGCAGCAGATCACTAAATTGGATGGAATTCCAAAGGCAAATTCTTTTCCCTTGCTGTAGATACTATATACATTGTTCTATTGGTTCTGCTTACTTTACTCCGTATCGGCTCTTGTAAGTCTTCCTAAGTTTCTCTGAATTCTTCATATTCATCATTTCTTACAGTGTAACAATATTCTATTACATTTGTATAGCAAGATTATTTTATATGTATATATATACATATATATCATAATTAAATTTATCTGGACAAAAGGTCAAGAATCTCAAGGGAAATTATTTTTTAAAAAAGCCGGAACGGAAAGGGGCTTAGTAGTTCCAGATCTCACACTATTCTACAACGCAAGTAATCATCAAAAATGATTTAGTGTTGGTTAAAAAATAAACTGGAACAGATTAGGTATACAGCAAGCATACCATTGTTTGCTACAAAGTAGCCTAGTGTTTTATAAAACCAAAGGCGCCATCTACTGGAGAAAGGACTCTTTATTTAAGCAATACCGCTGCTAAAAATGGAAAACCGTCCGGCTGCAATTAGGTTTACACCAAGACCTCACACCATATATCAAGATTATCTCCAAATATAGTAGACTTAGTTTTCCCAGCAGTTCTTGTCAAATAGAAAATCCCTGGCCTAGTGGCAGCTGTCTTCAGATTTTATGAACACCATCGCATTTGATTGGTTAGCTTCTGTCTTGTTTGTGTTATGGTTACTGATTTACTAGCAACTTCTTAAAACTGGATTAAAATTAAAATTTAATTTTAAATTTAAATAAACATTAAACATTTTGATACATTTTACTTTTAAATTGACTGTATTATTTCCAACATTCTTCCCCTCCCTGCCTTTCTAAAGATCCTTCTCTTACAATAAAGAATTTTTTAAACAGAGAAAGAAAAATAAAATCAACCAAGCCAATCAACATACCAAAAAAAAAAAAATCTGACATTATAGGCAATGTTCCCCATCCATGGACCTCTACTTCTGCAAAACAGCTTAGGGAGGTGGGTTTTTTCCATCTTTTCCTTTGAGACTAAGCTTGTTCATTATAATTTATAAGCATTCAGTTTTGATCATTTTATTTTATTTGTTTTGTTTTTTGACTAGGCAATGGGGTTAAGTGACTTGCCCAGGGTCACACAGCTAGTAAGTGTTATGTGTCTGAGGCTGGATTTGAACTCAGGTCCTCCTGAATCCAAGGCCAGTGCTCTATCCACTGTACTACCTAGCTGCCCCTGTTTTGATCATTTTAGAGTGGTTGATATTTCCACTTGCATTGTTGCAGTTATACTATTTTCCTGGCTCTGCTTACTTCTCTCTGCATCAGTTCATGTAAGTCTTTCCATGCTTCTCTGTATTACTCATATTTATCCTCTCTTATAGCACAATGTTATTCCATTACATTGATATACCCAACTTGCTTAGCTATTCTTTAATCGATGGGCACCTACTTTGTTTCCAGTTCTTTGCTGCCACAGAAAGGGCTGCTATAAGTATTTGGGGGTGTACATGGACCCTTTCTTTTTGTTAGTGACCACTTTGTATTATATACCTAGCCATAGGATCTCTGGGTCAAAGTGTATGGTCTCTTTATTTCATTAGCAACTTCTTCTGTTGGCTTCTGTTTCAGAAATCTCCCTGGATGTTGACACTTACCGAAATGGCAGAGTAAAGCCTACCGACGGCAAGATTGACAAGGTAAACATGAGGGGTTTTTCCTCATCCAGGGAGCTGGAAAAGGGTGAAGCTGTTGACTTACTCTTCCCAGTCTGTTCTAGATTTCCCAAGGTGGTGAGTGTCACCTGCTAGTGGGAAAGTGTGCGGTGCAGCAGCTCAGACTTGTAGCAGTCTTGAGCAAGGCTTGTTTGCCATAGACCACGAGCTCTACAGAATAGGTCCCATGGAGCGTCACAGGTTGAAAGCCTTAGATTAGTCTTCTAAGAGAGGCCAGAAAGAAGTCTTGGGAACAAGAAAGGAGGTTTGATTAGGGACAAGATTGGATGATCCAGCGCTCCATCACCTGCCCCTCCCCCCCAAAAAACCCTCAAACATATCCACCCTCCCCAAGATCGCATTACTCAAACCAGAGTCAAAAGAGCTCTAGGCTTAGAGTCAAATGCACATTCAGTTGCCATTTGGATTACTTAACTCACTGTGTGACTTTGCACATGCCCCTTAGCCCTTCTGAGTCAATTTCTTTCTGGGCAAAATGGAAATTCAACAACCTTTATTAAGCAAGCAACGACATTACAAGAATGAGAGGCAGCATGACATAGGGAATGAAGACTTGCCCTTGGATGAACACTGGCTCTGAGGCACATTGGCTGTGAGACCCTAGCCAAGTCATTTACTTCTCAGTGCCCCAAGGGATGTTCTAAACTTAAGTTGGAGAAAAGGTGCTGATCTGCATTGGTGGATGGAGTCTTCTCATGAGGAATCTCTTTATACCAAAAAAAGCCACATCTGGGCCAATCCTGCCCCCCCCAATCTTGTGAAGTAGGTGGGTGCATATGTAGACTATATCTATTATATAGGTAGAATACTTATTACAGATGTAGAATACATATTATATGTAGAATATATGTATAAATGTGTAGAATATATTATATGTGTAGAGTATTTATTATATTGAGTCAGTTTTACATATGAGTCAATATTACATTGAGTCAATATAATTCTACAATAATATATTCTACATATATAACATTATATATAAATGATCAAAATTATTGACCATATTATTTATGTAGAATATGTTATTGTAGAATATATTATATGTAGAATATGTATGATATATGTACTATATATATTCTACGCTGGTTCATAGTGTATATGTGTATATGTGTGTGTGTGTAGATTATATATATATATATATATATACACATACATATATGTATGCTTATACCAAATCTATATATACACTACAAATCAACAAACAAACTTTTTTTAAAATGTTTACTATGTACCTAGTGCTAGGGATATGAAAAAAAAATAAAGCAAAAACATTCCCTTCCATCAAGGTGCTTACATTCTAATGGAGAATCTGTTACTTCTTGCAAACCTATTTGGTCAAAATGAGGAGGAGGGCAGAGAATACAAAGGCTAAATGAGATACTGTCCCTGCTTTTATAAAATGCTGCTAGCTTCCTCGGGAGGGTTGTAACCAGGAGCAGATGAGCTAATGGGGGAAGGTGCTTTATAACTAGGCAAATGCGAATGATGAGGAAGTTCTCACATTCGAGTCCTATGATTGACAGCCTGCTGTAGAGTGGGCATGCCTCTGGCTTTTCAATGGTTAGGTCCAAGGAGCATGAGCCAATTTCATAGATCCTTTTGCTGGAAAGGTTTTGATTGGTCCGGTGATGGACTCTATGTCTGCAGTCTGATGACCAGCGTCCTTCAGAGCATAGGGGTTCACTGCATGGGGGTAGGTGGGCCACCAGGCAGTGGATTACTTTTTGGGACATGGGAACTTGTGAAACTATTTTCCAAGGTGTGGAGAGGCTGGGCTCAGTGTGGGCAAAGGAAGAATTCACACAGACCAGTAGAGAACAATGCATCCTTTATGAACAGATAAAGTCACTTGTTTGGCCAAAGAGAAGCACTCTCATTTTGAGCCATCAAAGTACATTGCAGAGGGATAGCCGTATGCTGACCAGGAAATTCTGAGGAGGTGAAAAGCAAATTACTGTAATAAATGCCACACTAATGTGGTTCATAGGCTATGGGGCCGCCCTTCCAATGACCATTCGAACTGGCAGGCTGGGTTCCCAAATCCTAGGGTCCTAGGGATAAGTCTGAGAGGTTAGAGGGAAGGAGAGGTATTCCCTAGTATAGTAATTCATCAGCCCCCATCCAGTGTGCTCCCCTGAATATCTATTTCTAATATCAATTAATCAGTTGACCTTTTCTTAGTATCAATTACCAGTTACCATCAATTAGCTTTTCCAAAGGATATTTACAGAGAACATATAGCAACAGCCAAAGTACAAATACCTCGGAGACAGGGATTCTGCTTTCCTCTCCCACCTTCCTCCCTGTGGACAGCAGGCTTAACCTTAAAGTGGTTGCTTTAAACCCTTCTTCCACCAAACTCACCTTGTGGCAAAGGCCTGGCCTCTGGATGAGCCATTCCCTTGCTTGTAGGACATGGTGTCTGGGCTTTGGAGTCTGTTCATTCTTGGGCTGGGTCAAGTAGGTTACTCCTCAGGGCTGGCTCCTCCCTAGGCTTGGCTGATGTAGCTACTGGCAGGCTCTGCAGTTTGCTGGCCCTCTCTGTGTTGGCTCTTCTGAACTCGCAAAGCTCACGAGGTCCATTCCATCTCTGATACTCATTCACCCAAGGTTAAGGAAGAATTAAACCCAAAGCCATGTGTGGCCACGTGGCAACTCTGGTAGAGAGATGTCCATCATAGCAGTATCTGCTGTTGTGTCTTCTTCTCCCCTTCCCCAGAAGCTCATAGTATTTCTTCTTTCTCCGCAAGGAGAAAATAGGAAGCTTTCATTGTTTGAGCCTTTTGCATGACATTTAATTCTGGTTCATCAGCCAGTTAAGGGCTGTTTGTCCTCATGCAGTAAGTTGACAGAGAACTGTTAAAGAATACCCAGGGGTCCTCTCAAGAGGGTCTCCTCCATTATCCACCCCCACCACTTGAATTGACAACAGTCAGAGCACTCTGCGAATGCTCTAAGGTCTGGGCTTTCATTGGATAGTTCCCCATTACATGAAGAAAGGAGGCCCCAAAGAAGCACGGTTCACTCACCAGGAAGATGAGTAACTTAGATGTGTAGTATAAAAAACACTAGATTTTTCTACAGAAGACCTCAGTTGAGACCCTGGCTCTTCTTTCGGTCTGTGTGACCCTGGGCAAGTTGCCTCACTGGTAAAATGAGAGTTGGATTAGATGACCTTTGGAAGCCTTTCCCCTTCTAACATTCCCAAACACCATAGCATACTGAAGTAATGGATTGATTATCGATGAAGATGATAATGAAGATGATGATAATGATGACAATGACCATGATGATGACAATGATCATAGCAATTATGTAGCAATAACAAAACTTAACACCGCAAGCACCCTTTGGGAGAGAATCAGAGAATCTCAGAGCTGGGAAGGACTTTGAAGGCCATCCATCTAGTCCAACTGGTGCCTGACCAAGAATCCATTCTAACATATCTAAGAAATGGCTACCCAGCCTCTGTTTGAAGGTCACCAGTGAGGGCCAATCTCCTTCCATGACAGCCTATTCTGCTTTAGGGCAGCTTCCATTTTTAGAAAGCATTTCCTGACATCCCAGGGTATACTAGCAAATGTTTACCAACTAGCTCTCCGGATAAAAAAGAAAAAAAAATGTACAATAAATGCACTTTTAAGTTTAATCTTTATCACTAATGTATTCTCTATCACTTAAGACTAGGTAGTCAACAAAACAATAAATCAAGCCCTGGTTTGTTATGTTTGCTAATTTCCTAGGTGTAAATGCTCACACTGAAAATCCAACAGTTGGCTCACCTGGGCAAGTATAAGCTGGCTCCAGCACAGCCCTGAGTGATATCTAACCTGCAATAACTTCTTTGGTACTTCTCTCTCTTAGCACTGATTCTGTCCAATGGGACCCTTTTCCATCTGTGGGCCTTGCAAAGACTTGAACCCAGCCCTCATGTACACTTTGAGTTTTCTCTGCTTCAGACTAGACCTCCTCAGTTCCTAGAACTGATTCTCATTGGACATGGATTCAAAGCCCGTGGCCCTCTGGGGCTGTCTCCTTTGGACACTCTCCATCTAATCAATGTTCTCAAAATATGGTGGCCACAATGAACACAGTCCTCCAGGTTTGGTCTCAGCAGAACAGAGAAAAGAGAGGTTCTCCCCTTCCTATTTATTCCTGGAACCTGTACTTCCCTAAATCACAATCTCTCTCTTTCTCTCTCCCTCTTCTCTCTCCTTCCCTATCTCCCTCCCTCCTCCCCTCTCTGTCTCTGTCTGTCTCTCTCTCTTCCTCCCTCTTTCTCCCTTCCTTTTTCTTTCTCTCTCCTTTCTTCTTTCCTATTTATTGCTTTCTTTCTTTACATCCTTCTTTCTTTCTTAATTTCTTGCCTTCTTTCTTTCTTTCTTTCTTTCTTTCTTTCCTTCCTTCCTTCCTTCTTTCTTCTTTCTGTTGGTAGATTCCAAGATATTTCCTTTCTTCTGGGCAGCCTTTCTACAACAAACAATCTTTTCTGGAGTGAATAACTGTAATACTAGTGGTTCATCAATAATGGTCTTTAGTTGCATCACATTGGAAGCTCAAGATGCAGTTTGTTAAAGATTTGGGCCAATTGGGAGTGGTAACCAACCTTTATTAGTTTAGACCTGCACAAGGCTGACCTAGTTTGGCCTGTGACCCATTCATTGTTGTTCTGGTTCAGTTATTTCACTCATGTCCGACTCTTTGCTATCCCATTTAGGTTTATTGTAGCAAAGATACTGGGGTGGTTTGCCATTTCCTTCTCTAGACAATTTTACAGATGAGGAAACTGAGGCAAGCAGGGTTAAATGACTCGCCCAGGGTCACACAGCTAAGTAAGTGTCTGAGGCCAGATTTGAACTCATAAAGAAGACTCTTCTGACTTCAGGCCAAGCACTATATGCACTATGGTGCCCCCTAGCTCCCCTTTCAGTAGTTATCATGATTATTAAAGCTTTCTAAATTTCAGAAATACTGTTCTGTGGTTCCTGGCACTAAGGTAGCTCTGTGTTCCCCTTTGGTGTCTGCAGAGAAATTGGACATGGGGCCCCAATGGACAAGGTGCTGTCCTGCTTGTGAACTGTGACAAAGATAGTCCCAGGTCTTCTGAGGTGGATGCTGAGCTGAAGAAGGTGACTAATTACAAAGGTAAAAGACTAGTGCAGGCCCCTGTTCTTGGGCCAAACCTGAGGGTGAAAATCATTTGGAAGGGAGAGTGTGCCAAGACTAGGCATTCCCACAGTCATTTGGCCTTCATAGAATCATAGAATGTCAAACCTGGGAGAGACCTTAGAACACAGGATGTCAGAGCTGGGAGGGCCCTTAGAACACAGAATGTCAGAGTTGGGAGAGCCCTTAGAACACAGAATGTCAGAGCTGGGAGGCCTTTAGAACACAGAATGCCAGAGCTGGGAGGGGCCTTAGAACAAAGACTATCTGAACCTTACTAACATTCTGAGAGATCAGTTGTGTGGGCATCATAACTCCCATGTCAAAAATGAGAAGACTAATGATCAGAGAGATGAAGACTCTCTCTCAAAGTCAGAGCTGGCACAGGAGAGAGCCGGGATGAGAACCCAGGTCCTCTGGCTCCCAGTCCAGTACTTTTGACACTACACGAACAATGAAATTACTCACACCAGAGACCCCGCATCAACACCCTCTTCCTAGGTGGCACAGAGGATACAGCACAGGGCCTGGAGTTAGAAAGATCTGAGTTTGAATCTGGTCTCAGACACTAACTAGTTCTGTGACTCTGGGCAAGTCACTTATTCTACCTGCCTCAGTTTCCTCAACTGTAAAATGGGGATAATAATAGCACCTAGAGGATCAAATGAGATAATATATTTTAAGTATTTAGCATGATCTCTGGCACATAGCAGACACTTAAGAAATCTTTGGATTTTTTTCTTCTTCCTTCTTTACAGACCTGAAGGACATGTCCCTCATGATTCTGAGCACACAAACTCCAAAGGATTTCTTTGCCCGGCACGAGCTGATTCTACATGTTTCCAAATTTGAGATGGATAAAGTGAGAGTTTTTCAAGCTGACCGTGAGTGCCCCCATGATGATTGGTTACCATCTTGAGTGTCTCTATTGGTTAACATCCAATGATATATTCAGTAATTTGTCATTAAGCCAAGTCTTTGGAATCAGCTTGGCCCAACCTCCTCAGAAACAAGTCATGACCCATTTCTAGGTTGGAATGTCTACCCAGCATGATTGAGGAAGAAGCATCAGTAGCAGCTGGTTATTGAGAACAGAGCTCCCCAAAGATTTAGTGACAGATAAAAGAGTAAAACAACCTCTGAAAATCAGACAGATGAGGCAGCTAGGTGGTTCGATGGATAAAGCATGGGACTTGGAGGCAGGAAGACCTGAGTTTGAATCCTGCTTCTGCCATTTACTAACTGTGTGGCCCTGGGCAAATCACTTGACATCTCTATGTCTCAGTTTCCTCATCTGTAAAAATGAGGAAAATATTAGCACCTATCTCAGAGAGTTCTCGTGAGGACCAGATGAGTTAGCATTATGTAAAGTGCTTTATAAACATTAAAATGCTTTACAAATGCTAGCTATTATTATGATTAGATGGAAAGATGGATGGATAGAAAGAAAGATTAGATAGAGAGAGAGAGATGATAGATAGATAGATAGATAGATAGATAGATAGATAGATAGATAGAT